TTACGTAAAATAATTAATTTAAAGCCAGTGCCTCATTCATATAAATGCTCATTAAGTGTGGGTGTTACTCTCACTACTACTGTTTTTTTTGTTTTGTTTTTTTTTTTAAATTTTCATGAATACAGAGTAGGTGTATATATTTATGGGTTACATGAGATATTTTGGTACAGGCATGCAATATGTAATAAGCGCATAAGGGTAAATGGGGTATCCGTCCCCTCAAGCCTTTATCTTTCAATTCAATTGTATTTTTAGTTATTTTAAAATGTAGGATTAAATTGTTTTAAACTACAATTATCCTATTGTACCAGCAAATATTATACCTTATCCATTCCTTCTATTTTTTGTACTCATTAACCACCCTTTCTTTCTCCCCACCACTTCACTACCCTGCCCAGCCTCTGTTAACCATCCTTCCACTCTCAATCTCCAGGAGTTCAATTGTCTTAATTCTTAGGTCCTACAAGTAAGTGAGAACATGTGAAGTTTGCCTTTCTGTGCCAGGTTTATGTCATTTAACATAATGACCTCCAGTTTTATCTATGTTATTACAAATGACAGGAGCTCATTCTTTTTATGGCTAAATAGTACTCCATTGTGTATATATACCACATTTTCTTTATTCACGTATTGATGGACACTTAAGTTGCTTCCAAATCTTGGCTATTGTGAAGAGTGCTGCAGCAGACATGGGAGTGCAGCTATCTCTTTGATATACTGATTTCCTTTCTTTTATGTATATACCCAGCAGTGGCATTGCTGGATCATATGGTACTCCATTTTTAGTTTTTTAAGTAGCCTCCGAACCATTCTCCATAGTGGTTGTACTAATTTACATTCCATCCAACAGTGTGCAAGGGTCCCCTTTTCACCACATCCTTGCCATCTATTGTTATTGCTTGTCTTTTGGATAAAAGTCATTTTAACTGGGGTGAGATGAGATCTCATTGTAGTTTTGATTTACATTTCTCTGATGATCAGTGATGTTGAGCACCTTTTCGTAGGCCTGTTTGCCATTTGTATGTCTTCTTTTGGAAAATGTCTATTCAGATCTTTTGCCCATTTTAAAAATCAGAGTATTAGATTTTTTTTTTCCTACAGAGTGGTTGGAACTCTTTATTATATTCTGGTTATTAGTTCCTTGTTAGATGGGTAGTTTGCAAATATTTTCTCCCATTCTGTGGGTTGTTGGCTCTTCTTTGTTGAGTGCTTCCTTTGCTGCCCAGAAGTTTTTTAACTTGATGTGATCCCATTTGTCCATTTTTTGCTTTGGTCGCCTGTCGTTGTGGAATATTCCTCAAGCAATCTTGGCCTAATCCAATGTCCTTTAGAATTTCCCCAGTGTTTTTTGGTACTAGTTGCATAGCTTGAAGTTTTAGATGTAAGTCTTTTATCCATTTTGGTTTGATTTTTGTATATGGCAAGGGATATGGGTTTAGTTTTATTCTGCATATGGATATCCAGTTTCCCCAGCACCACTTATTGAAGAGACTGTCCTTTCTCCTGTCAAAAATGCATTCACTGTACATGTATGGATTTATTTCTGGGTCCTTTATTTTGTTCCAGTGGTCCGTATATCTGTTTTTATGCCAATATCCTGCCATTGTGGTTACTATAGCTCTGCAGTGTAATTTGAAGTCAGGTAATGTGATCACTCAAGTTTTGTTCTTTTTGCTCAGGATCCCTTGGCTATTTCTTCTAGATTTTCCAGTTTATTGGCATATAGTTGCTCAGAGTATCCACTAATGATCCTTTGAATTTCTACTGTATCAGTTGTAGTGTCTCCTTTGTCATGTCTGACTTTATTTATTCAAGTCTTCTCTCTTTTTTCTTAGTTATTCTGGTTAAAGTTTTGTCAATTTTATCTTTTCAAAAAACAAACTTTTCTTTTTGTTGATCTTTTGTTTTCTTTATTTCAATTTCATTTATTTATGTTCTGATGTTTAGAATTTATTTTTTTCTATTAATTTTGGGTTTACTTTATCTGTCTTTTTTAGTTCTTTTAGATGCATCATCAGGTTATTTATTTGAAGTTGCTCTTTGTCGATGTAGGCACTTATAGCTACAAACATTCCCTTTAGTATTGTTTTCATTGTATCCCACAGATTTTGATATGTTGTCTTTCCATTATCATTTGTTCAAGAAATTTTTCAATTTTCTTCTTAATTTCTTTATTGACCCACTGGTCATTATGGAGCATGTTGTTTCATTTCCACGTGTTTGTATAGTTTCCAAAATCATTCTTGTTATTGATTTCTAGTTTTATTCCATTGTAGTCAGGGAAGATGCTTGATGCTATTTCAGGTTTTTGAAAAATGTCTTAAGACTTGCTTTTGACCTAACATATGGTCTATCCTTGAAAATGATCCATGTGTTGAGGAAAAGAATATCTCTTCTGCAGGCATTGGATGAAATGTTCTGTAAATATCTTTAAGGCTCATTCGACAGTGCAGATTAAGTCTGATGTTTCTTTGTTGATTTTCTGTCTGGAAGATCTGTCCAAAGCTGAAAGTGGGATGTTGAAGTCTCCAACTGTTATTGTATTGAGGTCTATCAGTCTTTTTAACTCTAATAATATTTGCCTTATATATCTAGATGATCAAGTGTTTGGTGCATATACATTTACAATTGTTAGATCCTCTTACTGAATTGATCCTTTTCTCATTATATAATGACCTTTGTCTCTTCTTATAGTTTTTGTTTTGAAATCTGTTTTGTCTGATCTAAGTATAGCTACTCCTGCTCTTTTCTTGGTTTCCATTGGCATGGAATATTTTTTTATGTTCCTTATTTTCAGTCTATTTGTGTCATCATAGGTCACATATGTTTATTGTAGGCAATAGACCAATGGGTCTTATTTTTTAATCCATTCAGCCACTCTATGTCTTTTGATTGCAGAGTTTAGTCCATTTACATTCAATATTATTATTGATAAGTAAGGACTTACTCCTGCTCTTTAATTATTTGCTTTTTGGTTGTTTTGGGGTGTTCTCTTCCTTCTTTCATTTCTTCCTGTCTTCCTTCTAGCAAAGGTACTTTTCGCTGGTGGTATGATTTAATAGCTTGCTTTTTCTTTTTGTGTATTCTTTGTGTTTCTTTGACTTGAAGTTCTCGTGAGGCTTGCAAAAACTATCTTCTTGTAACCCACTATTTTATGCTAGTAATTACTTAATACTGATTACATAAACAAAGAAAACTAATAAGAGCTCTACACCTTAACTTCCTCCCCTTGCTTCTAAACTCTTTGTTGTTTCTCCTTATAATTTATTGTGCTGTCTATGTCTTGACAAGTTGTCATAGTTATTATTTTTGATTGGTTCATCGTTTAGTCTTTCTACTTAAGATAAGAGTAGTTTACACATCACAGTTACAGTGTTATAACATTCTGTGTTTTTCTGTGTACTTGCGATTACCAGGGAGTTTTATATCTTTAGATTATTTCCTATTGCTTATTAACATCCTTTTCTTTCAGATTGAATAACTCCTTATAGCATTTCTTGTAGGACAGGTCTGGTGTTGATGAAATCCCTCAGCTTTTGTTTGTCTGAGAAAGTCTTTATTTCTCCTTCATGTTTGAAGAATATTTTTGCTGTATATATTATTCTAGGGTAAAAGTTTTTTCCCTTCAGCAGCTTAAATATGTCATGCCACTCTCTCCTGGGCTGTCAGGTTTCCACTGAACAGTCTGCTGCCAGATGTATTGTAGCTCCATTGTTTGTTAATTGTTTCTTTTCTTTTGCTGCTTTTAGGATCCTTTATCCTAGACCTCTGGGAATTTGATTATTGCATGCCTTGCAGTAGTCTTCTTTGGGTTTATCTGCTAGATGTTCTATACAATTCTTGTACTTGGATACTGATACTTTTTTATAGGTTTGAGTGGTTCTCTAATATTATCCCTTTGAATAATCTTTCTATCCCATCTCTTTCTTGACCTTGTCTTTAAGGCCAGTAACTCTTAGATTTGCTTTTTAAGGTAATTTTCTAGATCTTGTAGGCATGCTTCATTATTTTTTATTCTTTTTTCTTTGTCTCCTGTGACTGTGTGTTTTCAAATAGCCTGTCTTTAAGTGCACTATTTCTTCTCCTTGATCAATTCTGCTATTGAAAGACTCTGATGCATTCTTCAGTATGTCAGTTGCATTTTTAAACTTGAAAATTTCTGCTTGATTCTTTAAAATTATTTCAATATCTTTATGAATTTTATCTGATAGAATTCTGAATTCCTTCTCCGTGTTATCTTAATTTTCTCTGAGTTTCTTCAAGACACCGATTTTGAATTCTCTGCCTGAAAGATCACATGTCTCTATTTCTCCAGGATTGTTCCCTGGGTACTTATTTAGTTTGTTTGGTGAGGTCATGTTTTCCTGGAGGTCTGGATGCTTTTGGATATTCATTGGTGTCTGGGCATTGAAGACTACCCAAAGAGTCTGCTTAGTACTCTACCTCCCTGTGGCTGAGCTGGTACCTAAGGGGAAGGAAAACATCCTCTTTACCTTTCCTTCTGCTTTTCTCAAGCAGAAGGGGTCTGTTACAGTAGCCACCACAGCTGGGAATGTACTGGGTCTCACCTGAAACCAGCAGATCTCAGAGTCTCAGCCAAGAACCACAGTGTACTACCTGGGTATTGCTTCTGGCTATTCAGAACCCAAGGGCTCTTTAGCCAACAGGTGATGGGTCCTGCCCAGATCTTTCCCTTCAAGGCAGCAGCTTCCCTTCTGGCCCAGGATGTGTCTAGAAATGTTATCCACAAGTTAGGACCTGGGATGGGGGCCTGATGACTCTGACTGATGCCCTGTCCTACTGTGGCTAAACTGGTATTCAAGATAACAAAGTCCTCTTTACTCTTCCCCCTCTTCTCTTTAAGCAGAAGGAATGGGTCTCTTCATGCTATTTTTAATCAATCTAGCCACTAGCATTGGGACTGATGCAGACACTAAGGATCCAAATGATTTGTTTGTTTGTTTGTTTGTTTTTTAATTGCATTGGGATTAGGCAACAGAAGGGTCTAATGTGGCTGAGAGTTTTTGAGAGTGGAGCGTTTTTAGGAGGGTAGCTGCATTCCAAGAAGAGAGCTCTGCTGGGGTAAAAGAGGCATGGGTGCTAGAAAAGGGCAAGCAGTGGTGAAGAGCCACTAACAGCGCTACCTGGGGTTGGGGCAGGGGTGTTACAAGCACTCCCTTAGCTCCCCTGTCTGGTTTCTCAGTAAGTCGCATGCCCTCCAAGTCTACTGGCTCTGAGCTCAGCATTTGGGCTTGCTTAGGAGTTGCTGTCCTTTTGGCCCTAAACTGCCTTAAAGGTTATTTAGGGCCCCAGAGCACTTTACTGAAACTCTAGTTTTCACCACTGGTATGGGCTGTTCCCTCTGGCTAGAGCTTGTCTGTGGGGGAAAAGAAAGATCAGACTGTTACTGTGTCTATCTAGAAAGAAGAAGATATAAGAGACTCCATTTTGTTCTGTATTTGAGATGCTGTTAATCTGTGACCCTACCCCCAACCTTGTCCTTGCAAGAGACATGTGCAGTGGTGACTCAAGGTTTAATGGATTTTGGGCTGTGCAGGGTGTGCTTTGTTAAACAAGTGCCTGAAGGCAGTATACTTGTGAAAAGTCATCACCATTCTCTTAATCTCAAGTACCCAGGGACACCTACACTGCCAAAGGTCGAGGGGACCTCTGCCTAGGAAAGTTAGGTATTGTCTAAGGTTTCTCTCCATGTGATAGTCTGAAATATGGCCTCGTGGGAAGGGAAAGACCTGATTGTCCCCCAGCCTGACACGCGTGAAGGGTCTGTGCTGAGGAGGACTAGTGTAAGAGGAAAGAAGGCCTCTTGGCAGTTGAGATAGAGAAAAGCATCTGTCTCCTGCCGGTCCCTGAGCAATGGAACATCTCGGTGTAAAACACGATTGTATGTTCTGTTTACTGAGAAAGGAGAAAACCACCTTAGGGCGAAAGGTGGGACTTGCTAGCGCAATGCTGCTCTTTATGCACTAAAAAGGTCTATGGAGATGTTTACATATGCATATCAAGGCACAGCACTTTTCCTTAAAATTATGTCACAGAGATCTTTATTCATATATCTTACTACTGACCTTCTCCCTACGATGATCCTATTATCCTGCCACTTCCCTTTTTCTAAGATGGTAAAGTTAATGATCAACAAATACTGCCGGCCAGGCACGGTGGCTCACGCCTGCACTTTGGGAGACCGAGATGGGCGGATCACGAGGTCAGGAGATCGAGACCATCCCGGCTAACATGGTGAAACTCCGTCTCTACTACAAAGTACAAAAAACTAGCCGGGCGAGGTGGCGGGCACCTGTAGTCCCAGCTCCCTCCATGGGCAGGCATTGGCCGAGTTCAGCCTAGTTTTGCTTTCTGCTATGACAGGGCAGCACTGAGTTCAATTCAAAATCTCACAATCACTGCACTCTCCTTTTCCCAATCCACAAGGCTGCTGCTGCTGGGGAATGGAGGACTGGTGGCATTGGCAAATCAAAACTATCTTTCCTGCCTTCTTCAGTGCCTCTCTCAGTAATATGAAGTTAACACCAGGTATTGTGGTTACTGACCTGATTTTTGGTTCTTATGAAGGTGCTTCTTGTGTGTGTAGATAGTTGTTAAATTGTGTTCCTGGCTGAGGTGGAGGAGGGGTGGTGGTCAAACCTTCTATTTGACCATCTTGCTTCATCCCTCTCTACTGATACTACTGTTGTTGGTATTATTAGAAATGAAAATGAGTCCTGTGAGTTATAACTGTCTTCATTTTGCAGACCAGGAAACTGAGGCTCAGAGAAATATTAAGCAGCCAAAGTCACAGCGATTAAAAAAGGCAGGACCAAACTTTGACGGAGATCAGGACCCACTCCTCTGAGAACTCACCTTTTTCGTTAGCTCCAGTCTAAGAGTGCTATCTAGGAGCAGGTTTATGGGGCCCCAGGAGATGTTCAACCAGAGGCTTCTGATTTGCAGGGGCTGCAGAGGGGAAATCTGCCCTGACTAGAAGATTTGTTTTCCACCCATATTCGTTTGATCTCACATTGCTATGAAGAACTACCTGAGACTGGGTTTCAGAGGCTGTATAGTAGGCATGGCCAGAGAGGCTTCAGGAAACTTACAATTATGGTGGAAGGAGAAGGGAAAGCAAGCACATCTTCACATGGCAGCAGGAGAGACAGAGCGAGCAAAGGGGAAGTGCCACACACTTTTAAACCATCAGATATCATGAGAACTCACTCACTATGATGAGAACAGCAAGGGGGAAAATCTGCCCCCATAATCCAATCACCTCCCACTAGGTCCCTCTCCCAGTGAATTATAATTCAGTATGAGATTCGGGTGGGGACATAGAACCAAATCATCTAATCTTGCCATGTCCTAGTGTAATTTTTGGAAGTTTTCTGAACTAACATTTCTTGTCTAGAAATATACACACTCAAGATCAATCTAACTATTAAAAACAAAAAATGCTTATTTTCCAGTACCTGTTTTATGTTAGATTCTGGGGTATATGAAAAAGAGAGTGACTTAATGTTCCTGCCTATCATTCATGTGTAGCTTGTGCATCTATCCTTTCATCTGTCTCTCCATATCACAAACATGTATTAAATACCTACTGCATGCTAGACACAATCCTGAAGGTGTTTTTCTTACCTAAGTCTTTTTTTTTTTTTTTTGCCTGCCAGAGAGTACAGTATTCTCATTTCAAGATAAGAAGTGGTGAATAAGTGAAGTGCAAATTGGTGAGGACAGTTAGACACGGAGTGATTACTTCCGACAGGTTTCCACCACTCAGCTAAGTAGCAAGGTGAAGACTCCGAGGGTGAGCTGCAACTCACAGAGCGGGAAGACCAACAGGCAGTGAGAAAAGAAGGTGCAGTGGCTTCATGTTGTAGCAGATGCCTGTGTGTACACATGGGAGTGTGTATTGCTTTATGCCGTTTTTCAACTGCTTCAGCCACTAGCATTGGTACTGCTGCACACTAAGGATTCAAATGTTTTCCTTTTTTTTTTTTTTTTAATTGCATTGGGATTAGGCAACAGAAGCCGCCAATTAGGCGGCTGGGATGAGAAAGGAGAGTTTTTAGGAGGGTAGCTGCATTCTAAGTAAGGGACTCTGTTGGGGTAAAAGGAGCGAGTGTTGCAAGAAGGGGGTGCGGGGGTTGAGCAGGCACCTCTACAGGAAATGGATGCTGTCCAGGTGCTGGTGGGCGCCCCGGGCAACGTGGCGAAGCAACTCAGCCGGTCCAATCAGACTGCGTCCAGGGCTTGGGTTTCGCGATCATTAAGTGACTGAGGCAGATCCCCACGCGGCACCTGGCCACGCGCTCAGCAGTCCCGCCGCGGTGAGTATGTTTAAGGAATCCTTCCCATTATGGCGACTCCATACCCAGGTCCCCGCCCGGGACAGAGGAAGCCGCAACAGGTCCCCCGGGGCACCGGGCCCTCTCTCCTGCCTCCAGCCATGTACGAGGGTCCGGCAGCTGCGCCGCCTGAGCCCCTCCCCGGCCGGCGGGCGGGGCGGGCTCTCCGAAAGCCGTCGCGGTGGTCCCCGAAGCCGGGTCATAAATAATTCACGAGCCAGGGCCTGGCTAGCTAAGGGAAGGGCGGCGGCAGCGGTGACTAGGGCGCGAGCAGGAGCGGGAGCCGGGTGCACGGTGAGTAGCTGGGTCCTCATCCCGGAGCGAGAGAGGCATCTGCTGACCAGGCGCGGGGCTGAGCGCACTCCTTCCACTGTACTGGGGGTGTACAGTGAGGAGTGGACGGGTTCTCTCTGCGCCCCCCTTATCTTAGCCCTCTGCGCCGCCGCCCTGGCCCCTCAGCAGGTGGTGCGGACCCGGACAGCGGCTGGGGGCCAGAGGGACTGCGGGGAGCGCGTGGTGGTCCCGGTGCCCGGCCAACCCAAACTTTTTCCGCTGAGTGGTGGCCCGCCCCGCCCCGCTTGGGTCTTCTTTCCATCCACTGGGGTGGGGGCTGTGGTGGGGGTAGCCGGCGGCTGTGGTTCCGGAGCGGGAGTCGGAGGTGGGTGTGTGAACCGGACCGGGGCCGCAGAGACTTCGGACTCGCTCTCCGGGAGAACGACGACCGAGGTGAGATTTGCCAGGGTCTTGGGAACGAGTCTGCGGTAAAGGAAGCTCTAGGGATGGCCTCGGGGACGTGAGGCGCTGAGCTTCCCCGGCTGAGTGCGGAAAGGGGCCAACACTGTGCAGCAGACCACAGCGGGAGGAGGGATACGGGGGTGCAAAGCGAAGCCATCTCCCGGCGTCCATGGGAGAACGCAGGCACCTCTGGCTCAAAGCACCGTCCCAGCCTCCCACTCCACGGCCCTTCTGCATGCGTGTGCGGGGACCCGCGGCTATCGCTAGATGGAGAACTGGGGTGCTCAAGGCGCACCCTGCCAGAACGCGCCGACCGGACAACAAAGAGGAGCTTGGACAGACCAGGAGCTTCATGGCTGTAGAAAGTCGGAAGCTCGGGATCAGTTTCCCCGAGAGCCCGCGTCTGGAGAGGCAGGGAGTCAGATCGGAAGGAGGAACTAGCTCCGGAACCCCTTCTCTCTGGCAAGATCGCCCCCGATCAGTGCCCAACAGGGGCCGCGGCGGGGAACTGGCGCCGACAAGCTCGGAGCAGCCAAGTTACTCCGGCAACCCCCTCCCCTGCGCGGCTGCAAATTCCTGGAGTCTCTTGGCTTCCCGCGCCCGCCCCGCCGCTCATTCTTTTGTGTCCCGCAGCTCGCGAGAGGCTTCCTCCCAGAAGGGAGCTAGACCGGGAGGGGGATTGGCCTGGAGGTGGTTTGGAGGTAAAGGGCGGGGAAGCAGGCGCCCCAGGCTTCCTTCCGCAACAGGTTGCTCCTGGAGCCCGCGAGGGCGACTGACCTTTCTGGAGAAAGGTTTGCTGGAGTTCCTGAGGGCGGCAGCTGTTCTTTGTTAAGAGAGCAAGTGCACGATCTTAGTTCTTGAGTGCCCCCCAAGACTCACGTGACACGAACAACCGCGGCGATATGTTGGGTTGAATCATAAGAAATTGTCGGTTTTTTGGATGGAAGATACGAATATCGTCAACCTCATATGATTTAACTTGTGTGATGTTACCCATTTTTCTTTTCTCACCGTCCTCTCTGTCCCGGTTATCCTAGGAGCCCCGGTGGAGTTGAGCTCAGAGTATTGATGCTAAGCAGAAGCAGACAGACCCCAGATAGCCTTCTAGCTGCGTGCCAGGTGCTTTACCTATTAGATCGCTAGCCTGCCAACCCTATGCGAAATCCGCCTTTGACAGAAGAGCAGAAGAAGGGTTGGAGAATGCAAACAACTGTCATCTTGGCAGAGTTAGTAAGGAGGACCAGAACCCCCTTACTGTTGCTATTGTCTGTCTGTTTAGCGGTGCCTTTAGTTTATTCTTGTTTTTTTTTTTTTT